CCCCCCCCCCCCCCCTCCCTCTTGTTTCTGTTGGTTTCTTTTCCTTTCAGTGTTGCTGGGCTTATTTTCCTTGCATCTTTGTTTTGTTGGTTAGGATCTGCTTATAGGTGAGATTATATGGTATTTGTATTTCACCCCCTGGCTTATTTTGCTTAGCATAATGCTCTCCAGTTGCATCCATGCTGTCGCGAAGTGTAGTAGTTCTTTTTTTCTTTCTGCTGCGTAGTAGTCCATTGTGTATACACAATTCTTTCCTGCTTCTCTAGGTACAGAGAGGATGCATCTACTTACAAAGTAATGAAGGAGAAAGGAGCTGTCTGAGGTGACAGAAGTCTGACACCAGGCACAGGGACCAGCCACTCTGCCCCGGCTGGCTTGGGGCACAGCGCGTTCGCTTCTGAGGGCTGTGCTTAGAAACTCTTAGATAAATGGCATGTGCTCATGGAAGAACCTGGTGAGCTTTTAGAATTATACCAAGAGAAAAGTAATAAAAAGGAAGTGGAGTTATTTCATCTGATTTGGAGAAGGTAAACATGGATTAATTTCAGGAGGAATTAAATACCTTTTACAAGAGGAATTAAAATTGTTCTGTGTCATCGTTAACCCCACTGATATATTAGACACGAGAAATTCAGGGTGTGAGAAAATTGAAGGACATCTTATCTTCAGTTCTAAGTCTGTGTTCAGTGATGCTCCTGATGTGCAGACCAGCACAGGCATGGGGTTCCCCCTCCAACAGACAGTATTCGGAGCCAGGCACCAGGTCCTGGGCTCAAGTGGTAAGCTACTGAAACCTTACATCACGTAAATATTTACTCGTTTCCTTTGGTGACCCTTAGAGCCTGACCCCACTAATATGGCCCCTGCCACTCTCTGAGTCTCCCTGAAAGAATGCACTCTGGTGACATGGGCTTTGCCCTCTGGGCATGGGTTTGAAGCTGTCACCGACCTGCACTCAAACACCGGTGCGGGTGCAGGTGCTGCAGCACAGCCTGTGGGGCCCTGGAGGGCGGCAGGGGCCTTCTCTAAAGATTATGTGGGATAGGACGCATACGGGGCTGCCATCCAATATATTCAACAAATTCTCACTCAAGCCCCTTACTCTCCAGTCACGTAATGCAACTGAGAGAAAGCAAGCAAAAACCTTTGGGGATGTGTTTTGGTCTGCCGTGTGCCGGGCCAGTCATTCTGAAGTTCCTGTAGCTCCATTGCATGTTCCACGAATTCCTTCCTAATGATGTGCCAGGAGGTTTATGGAGATAATAACACATTATCTGCTGATTGCAAGGTGCAGCTGTCTTGGAAAGAGTAATTGTTGATGCCTAGGTTGGCAATTTATCTTCTGTGGCTCGTTGTCTCAATTACTTCATCAGCATTATTCAGTTACTTGATTGTAAAGAGTGGTTTTAAATTATAGACAACCATCTCACCCAAGTTTGCCCTTTGACATAAAGGAATTCTTAAAAAACACAACATCAGCCATCACAAGGGACATCGCATTCGTTAATTTATTTCAGAACCTATACTGTCCCCTTACTCTTTGCAGGCCCAGAGTGAAGAGACTTTGGAATAAAAGTATGAACGGGATATATTCTTGTCATTGAATCCGTTAAGTTACTTGAGAAAATTTTCATGTAAATCACTCTTTACCTACAGCATCACTACGGAAATCTATCTTTGTTAACATGCCCACGCACTGACTAAAGCTCCTGCACGTGGAGAACCGGCTGGGCTGGCGTCTCCCCTGCGGCCCTGCGTCCTCCTCCGCCAGGGGGCTTCTCTGTGTCACGCGCGCCCCCCGAATCCCTCCCACGCAGCACATAGTGCCTGCGTGCAGGCGCCCCTCACCCAGCCGGGCAAACCTGAAGCTGTGTGAACAGAAGACGTCAGACAACCTTAGCTCCATGAGTCGTCGGCAGTCTCTGGGAAAAGGAAACAGTCAAAATCCAGGTGCAAGTGCTGCAATGGAAAGCAGCACAGATCCTTTTAAAGGCCACAAGCAGGAAGGAATGCCTGCATCACTGGCTGTGGCTTTTGAGGATTTTTTGAGGGTTGTGCTGGCTCTTCCGTCCTTGTCCTTGCCCCCGCCCCCGTGTGGTGGGCTTGCTTGGTTGGAGACTAGGAGAATGCAAATCCCTAAAACCAAGGCCTTGGTGAAAAGGGCCCAGGCTAGGGAAGAAAGCATGGGTGTGCGGGGCAGACAGTTTCAGGAGCCCAAAGCTACAGCGACAAAGACAGGAGCAAGGGCGAGCAGGAGGTCAGGGCAGAGGACGGTGCGCCGCCTGTTGTCAGGGAAGGCAAAACGCGAGGAGACGGCGAGGGCGTGGTGGGGGCGGGGCAGCCTGAGGTCCGGGACTGCGCTGTCAGTGAGTCAGGGGACGGAGCGGCGGGGGGGGGCGGGGGGGGCCACCGGACGCGACTGTACTAGCACGAATGCAGAATTTTATTCACTACAGAAAAATGATCAGCAGAAAACACAAGTTTAAATTAGAGCAACCCTCCTAAACAAGATAGCGCCCCCAGGCCCTTCACAGAGCGTTTGTAAAGAAATGACATTGGGTTGCAGCCTGGCCCACTGCTGCCTGAAGGCAGAACAGAGCCTTCTCATCCCCGGACCGGACAGGGAATACGTGCCGCCTCCCGGCTCCATGGACCCTCCTGAAGGCTACTGTGACTCCTCGGCAGACGCCAGGCACCTCCTCTTACCTCCTGGACACCAGGCCATCTGCACTCACGTGAGCTGTTCCATCAAGTTGTCCATACATTTGAACAAATACATTGCTTGGTTATGTCTCCAAAGAAAATACAAACAGGATCTAGTATCTCCCAGAGTCACAGTAATAAAAAGCATGACTGTATATGTAAAAGGCAGAAAAATATGGATCTCACATTTGACATCACATGATCACCTTTGAAGTTCTCGTCTCCATTAGCTTCTAGGATAGAGTGTACTGACTCTGTTCATTCATTTATTCACGTATTTATTCACCTAGTATTTATTGGGAGTCCATATGTGCCAGTCACTCTTCATGGTACTGGGATTACAGCTTTGAATCAAATAGAAAAAACATCCCCTGCCCTCATGTAGCTGATGTTCTGTCTCACTAGTCTTCCACTCTGCTGTTTCCTTTTTTTCTTTAATTAAATGTTTGTTACATGCCAAGACCTGTGTCAAATGTGTGTTATCTATTAGTTCATTTGATCCTGAGTGCACTAGCACTGTCCTCACATGTCAGAGGAAGTAGGGCCCACAAAGTTGACACAGCTGCTCTAAAGCCCCTCACCTGGGAAGTCTTCAGCCTGGGGTCAGGGGACGTTTTTCTACCACGGAGCCCGCTGCGCTTTGCTTTCTTTTGTAACCTCAGGTTTTCCTCACACCTGTCCATGGTTTTCTCAAACAATCTATCCATTTTCATTATCCACCTAGCCTTTCAGCAGAGAGTCTCAAACCTTTTAGACTCTGCCTTCTGCCAAAGCTACAGGCCAAGCCCTGGCCTTAAAATAAGGACAAGGGTTATGGGAGGCGCCGCGAGGACCTGCGTCGCTTGGCCGGGCTTCCACCAGGACCCCATCTGCTGCCACTCTTCCTCATCTGGCCGCACGCCCGCCGGCCTGCCTGCCTGGGGCTGGAGCCGGGGGTGAATCGGCTGCCTCCACCGTAGCGCCGGGGCCGGCGGACTCTGCCCTCCCACTGGTCTGCTCACCACAGCCCCGCCCACCTGTGGTGTGCACTCGCCCTTCAGGTGTTAGCTCAGAGACCCCCGAGGGTCCCACCTGAGTCCATAGGCTGCTTTAGAGTCCTCTGCTACATTCTTGCGGCACTGGCGAGTTTCCTTGTCCCAGGTATGAGGCTCATTGAGAGCTGGGTCACACATGTTTCGCTCACCTTGTGTCTGTGAGCCTGGCTACCCTACTGAGTAAATTGCTGAAAACATGCCCACCATCACTTCAAATTCAACAAAATGGAAATTACATTTTGCTCAGATGGCAGAGATGTCTATTTAATTCCCATGACCTAATGACCTCACCATACTCATCCTCAGGCGAGATCACACACTTTCTGTCAAATTACTTTGCTCCTTCCCTGTCTCTCTCAGTCTCCCCACAACACGGGTAAAGCACCAACAGCAGCTGCTCATTTTCCTTCTGAGGAAGGTCTTGGCCTACAGCATCGTCACCTCTGAGATGCGCTGTGCCACAATCAGAACTGTGCATGCTCCCGGGACCCTCTCTGAACACAGCCAGATACTTATTCACATGCTCTGAATGTTGCTGGACAGTAGACCTATCATCACGCTCACGTCTATTCCGGCATCTATCTTCCCTTCAACTCATCTAATCATTTTTTTAAAAAAAATCATGAGCCAATTAACAGGAGGTAGACAGATTAAGGTTTGAAAAAAAAATACGTTAAAAAAAAATCATACGTGTGAGGATGAGGAGGCCATGAACACAGTGGAGGAAGGAGCTCAGCCCATTTTCAGATTTACTGGTGGTGAAAACAGGAGCAGAGTGAGGCGCACAGTGAAGGGCTCCAGTTAGAAACGTCCAGTTGCCTGGAGACCCGAGGGTGGTTAATTTACGCTGGTGGCCCAGGGCCCGTGCGTTGTCGCTTTTCACGGCGAGTGGCTGCTCCGGCCTCCTGACACCAAGCCTGCGGATAAAAACCCTGCTCGTGGGCGCTCTTCTTCAGGCACGGCCCCTCCCGGGCGAGCGGACGGTCCGAGCTGATAGCGCAGGCGGCGGGCGGCAGGCGGCAGGGCCCCTCCCGGGCGAGCGGACGGTCCGAGCTGATAGCGCGGGCGGCGGGCGGCGGGCGCCAGGGCCCCTCCCGGGCGAGCGGACGGTCCGAGCTGATAGCGCGGGCGGCGGGCGGCGGGCGCCAGGGCCCCTCCCGGGCGAGCCGGCGGGTCTGAGATGATAGCGCGGGCGGCGGGCGGCAGGCTCCTCCCGGGCGAGAGGACCGGAGGGAGGTAGCACCGACCTCGGAGGCCGGCGGCATGGCCGCGGGGTCGCCCGGGCAGCGGCTGCGCGAGGAGGCGCGGTGCCCCGTGTGCCTGGACTTCCTGCAGGACCCGGTCAGCGTGGACTGCGGCCACAGCTTCTGCCTGCGCTGCATCTCCGAGTTCTGCGACAGGTCGGACAGCGAGCAGGGAGGCCTCTTCGCCTGCCCGCAGTGCCGCGGCCCCTTCACGCGGGAGGGCTTCCGGCCCAACCGGCAGCTGGCCAGCCTGGTGGACGGCGTGCGGCGGCTGGGGCTGGGCGCGGGGCCCTCGCGTGCGCAGTGCGCGCGGCACGGCCAGGAGCTCAGCCGCTTCTGCGAGGAAGACCAGGCGGCGCTGTGCTGGGCGTGTGACTCCGGCCCTGAGCACAGGGGCCACCGCACGGCGCCGCTGCAGGAGGCCGCCCAGCGCCACCAGGTGAGCTGTGCTCGCGGACGCACTGGCGGGCCGACTGGCTTGGAAGAGCCCTCCGACCGCAGCAGGCCCAGAGTAGGTGCCTGTGACCTCCCGGAGACCCGGTCCGGTGCCACCTCCTGATTACAAGGACTTCGCGCCTGCCCCCGCGCCCTCCTCCCGTCCCCCACCTTCCTCCCACCCTGTGTGCCTCTGACACTCGGCTGGGCGGGCTCCCCGCGCCCTGTCTCCCGTGCAGTCCTCGCTCCCCAACTACTGCGGCACCCCGAGCATTCGCCCTCGGAGCCGCCCCTCCCACAGCGCACTCTGCTGGTAGTGGAGTGTCCCTGTCTTTGCTCCAGGGTAACCCCATGTGGGACCCCTGTTAAGGAGCCCAGACGCACATTTCTTGCAGGGGTGTCCAGCCTTTTGGTGTCTGTGGCCCACAATGGAAGACGAAGAGTTGTCCTGGGCCACACATTAAATACACAAACACTAACGGAAACTGATGAGCAAAAAAAAAAAAAGAAAAAAGAAAAAAAAAGAAAAGAAAAGAAAAAAGAAAGGTTTTAAGTAGCAATTTTGTGTTGGGCCGAATTCATAACCATCGTGTGCCACATGCAGGCCAAGGGTTGGTCGCCCCTGCGAGGGTCCCTCCCTCCCTCCCAGGTAGCCTTCCCACCAGGTCAGGTACTTCTAGTCTCCTTTTCCCAGGCTGATCGTATGGGCCCCACAGCTAGAGCCCTGGCGTCAGGGCTGCATGCTTGGTTACAGGTGTGCAGCTTTTTGGCAAACGGATTTTAACCACGACGATTGGCATAGTGCCTTCCTTTTGCATAGTGTTGCTCTCTACCTTTATTACTGCTGTTACCAAAACAACCGTAGGGTCTGAGCATTAGTTAAGAATAGCCCCTGAGCAGGAAGATTCCTGAAGTAGGAATCTGGGAGCTAGGGGCAGGGGGCAGGTCTTTGCTCAACTCATATTTAAGCACTCAGGATGTGAGCACTTCAATGAAGAGGTGCCTCCTAGGGATATTTGGCCCCGGAAAGGGACATCTGTGGCACTCTGTAAATAGAATCCTCTCTCCTGGTGCTCTTCAAAAGCTCTTAGACATACTCTGCACACATTGAAATTCGTGACATCTGCAACAGCTACCAACACAAAGAAGGTTAAAGGCTTGTTTAATATACTGACATCTTTTCCTGAAATATCATCATAATGAAGTAAACATTAGTAAAGGCTGGTGGCCCACTGGGGACCAGATTCGCAACCCAGGCCTGCGCCCTGACTGGGAATCCAATGGGTGACCCTTTGGTTCACAGGCCCGTGCTCAATCCACCAAGTTATACCAGTCAGGGCCTACATTCTGTATTTCTTTTTCATTGAATAAATACTAACTTACATGGTTTCTTGTCACCTATTAATACTAAGCACTTTTCTGATTATAAAGTAGTAAATAATTTTCAGAAGTTTACATATGCAGATGTAGGAATAACATCATTTCTCACTCAGACACTGGTAGGTGAGGTTTTATGCCTTGAGCGTTTCCACTGACCTCTGCCTAGTTTATATATATTCCTTGAAGCACACTTTTTCCAAAATTGGTATGATGTTACATAAAATATACTTACTTTGGTTGACTTTAAAATTGAGAGCATTTCTTGTTATTAAACACCTTATTCTTGTTATTAAGCACCTTATTTTAATTTCATCCTGTTAGTGTAAAATATATTTTTCTTATTCCCTACTTTTTAAAAATTCTTGGATTATTATTAACTCTTCTATTGTATCTTTTCCTGTAACTTTTTAATTGTATTTTTTCAGTGTGGTCTCTGCCCCTCCCCCGCAATCCCCGCACCGCTGTCCGCGTCCCTGTCCCTGAGCCTTTTCCTTTTTGGCTCAGCCCCGCCTCCCCTCCCCCTCCCCTCCGGGGCTCTCAGCCTGCTCTCCATCTCTGAGTCTGTCTCTGTTTTGCTTCTCAGTTCAGTTTGTTCATTAGATTTCACATACGAGTGAGATCATATGGTGTTTGTCTTTCTCTGGCTGTCTTACTTCACTTAGCATAATGCTCTCCAGGTCCATCTGTGCTGTTGTAAAGGATCAAATTTTCTTAACATTTTGGTTAGTTACGGGTTTGCTGTTTTAAATAATGCCACAAGGAACATACTTTTACTAAATCTTTGGTTATGCCTGGCATTAACATTTAAAGTGCAGTTATGTTCAACTCAGTTGTAATGAGGCTGGGCACCTGTGGGCGCTCACGGGGCGGTTCTGGGTGATTGATGTGGTGCCTGACATACCCGGAAGTGACAGGTAGTGTGTTAGGGTGTCTGTAATGGTCTCGGTGTATCTTCCCAAACAGGCAAATCTCCAGGCGGCCCTGGAGCTCGTAAGGAAAGAGATGGAGGAGGCCTTGACACAGGAGGCCAGCGTTGGGAAGAAAACCATCATTTGGAAGGTACGGGAATACTGTTACTGCGGAGGGCTTGCCTGTCTGAAGGATCCACATTTGGGCCCCTGCATCGTTTTCCCCTGCTCCAACACTTTTGTTACATCTGTGTCCTTCTTAGCTGTACCCCAAACTGAGTCACAAGCAGCTTGGCTGACCTGGCTCTCACCGAAACGCACTGCCTCATCCCGGAGCCTCGGGCAGTCTCGTACTGCCTCTCCGAGCGTGAAGACCAGACTTTCTGGGTAGATGAGTACTAAACATTTCTTAGCATTGACATAGGTGAAGCAGAGCCAGACGTGATCCCTTGCACGGAGAGGAGAATCGTCGGGACATTCAGCCTCTTTACCACATACATAGTCTCTCTTCCATACATCAGTGGCCTGTTGTTTCTTTTGGTCACTTCTGCATGAGCACGGACACACACACACACACACACACACACACAGAGAATGGCTCTTAGATGGGTGGTTTTGCTTTCCAAGGTGAATTTTACAATACCAGTAGATATTTTTTGTTGTCACAACTGGGTTCTGGGGAGTGTTCCTGGCATCTAATTGATAAAGGCCAGGAATGCTGCTAAGCACCCTACCAATGCACAGGACAGCCCCCAAAACTCACAACAAGGAATAATCTAGGTATATATCAAATAAGGTCTATTTAAATTGAGAAACTATATATACAAACTATATGTGAAATGTATACCATATAGAAAATTTATAGAATGTTACTTTTTTTATAGGGTTAGAGATAGGTTTTGAGTCAAGGTTAGGGTTAGGGTTAGACTCAGCTTTGAGGTCAGAGTTTGGGTGTAAATTAAAGTTAAGATTAGGGTTAGGGTAAAGGCCAGGGTTAAGGTTAATTTTAGGGTAAGGGTTAGGTTTTGAGTTAGTGTTAGGTGTAGAGTTGGGGTTATGATTAGAATTAAAAGTAGGTTTGAGTTTAGGATTAGAGTTAGGTTTAGTATTAGTTTTGAAGTGTAAATTCAGGTTAGTATTAGATTTAGGCTTAGCGTGAGGACTAGTGTTGGGTTAGGATTAGGGTTAGGCTGGCACTAGTGTTAGGGTTAGAGTTAGGATAAAGGTTAGGTTGAGCTCATGAGCAGGGCTGGGCTTAGAGTCTGCTTAGTTTTATAGTTGATGTGTACATTATGGTTATGGATAGAGTTTGGGTGTGGGTTAGGGTTGGGTTTAGTTTTAGATTTGGGATTATGATTAGGGTTAGAGATAGCTTTGAGGTTGGGGTTTAGGTTTAAATTAGGGCTGAGGTTAGGGTTAAGTTCTGAGTTAGGATTAGGTTTACCCTTAGGGTTAGAATGAGCTTTAGATTTACAATTAGTGCTTATTTTATGATTAGACCTAGGGTTAGTGTTAAGGTTAGAGGTAGCTTTGAGGTTGGGGAAATGGTTTAAATTAGGGTTAGGGTTAGTTTTAGAGTTACGTTTAGGTTTAGGATTAAACAAAGTTTAAGTTTAGGAATAGTGTTAGGATTCACTTTCTCTTTAGGGTTGGGGTAAGTTTAGTGGTATAGTTATCTCTTGAGATTAGGGTTTGGGCTAAAATTAGGAATAAATTGAAGGTTAGGGTTTGGTTAAGTGCTAGGATTAGGTTTAAGTTTAAAGTTAGGGTTATGGTTAGGGTTAGGTTTTGAGTAAGGGTTCAATTTATGCTTAAGGTTAGAGTTAGTTTTAGGGTTGGGGTTACACTTATAGTTGATTTAATGATTAGCATTAGGCTTAATAATGTTAGACTTAGCTTTGAAGTTAAAGTTTAGGTTAATTTATTTTTAAAATTTTATGTTTGTTTCAGACGTACGGCATAGTGGTTAGACAATTACATAATTAAGACGTAAACCCTGATAACTTTATTAACCACCTGACACCATACATAGTTATTACAGTATTACTGGCTGTATTCCATATGCTGCACTTTACATCCTGTGAATATTTTGTAACTTCTTGCTCCCTCCAACTTTTTCACCCATCCCTCCTGCTTCAGTTTCTTCACTGTATCTGTATGACTCTTTCTGTTTTGTTTGTATGCTTATTTTTCTCTTTAGATTCCACATATAAGTTAAATCATATGGTATTTGTCTTTCTCTGTCTGACTTTATTTACTTAGCATAATAACAACTAAGTCCATCCATGTTGTTGCACATGGTAATATTTCATTCTTTTTTATAGGTGAGTAGTGTTTCATTGTATATAAGTACCACCTCTTTATCCAACCAGCTGTTGATGTGCCCTTGGGTTGCTTCCATATCTTTGTTATTATAAATAACACTGCAATGAACATAGGTGTGCATACACGTTTTCAAGTTAGTATTTTGGTATTCTTTGGATATATTCCCAGAAGTAGAATTAATGGGTCATAAGGTATTTCCATTTCTAATTTTTTGAGGAATCTTCACAATGTTTTTCATAGTGGCTGCACCAGTTTATACCCCCAGCAGTGCATGAGTGTTCCCTTTAATTCACATCCTCGCCAACACCTGTTGCTTTTTGATCTATTGAAGATAGCTATTCTGATAGCTGTGAGATGACATTGAGCATCTCTTCATCTGTCTTTTGGCCATCTGTATCTCCTTTTTGGAGAATGTCTATTCAGATATTCTGCCCATTTTTAAACTGGATTATTTGTGTTTTTGGTTTTGAGTTGGATGAGTTCACTGTGAATTGGTGAGTATCTGCTTTTATTCAGTAGATTGTCTTTTGGTTTTGATGATGTTTTCCTTTGCTGTGTAAACACTTTCTACTTTGATGTAGTCTCATTTTATTTATTTTTCCTTTTGGTTCCCATGCCCAAGGACATATATCAGAAAATGTATTACTAAGAGCAGTGTGTGAGAGTTTACTGCCCATATTTTCTTCAAGAAATGTTATGGTTTTGGGTCTTACATTTAAGACTTTCATCTATTTTGAGTGTATTCTTGTGTGTGGTGTAATAAGATGGTCTAGTTTCTTTTTTGTAATGTATCTGTCCAGTTTTCCCAACACTATGTATTGAATAGACTGTTTTTGCCCCATTGTATATTCTTGTCTCCTTTGTCATATGTTAATTGATCATATAATGTGGGTTTATTTCTGGGCTCTCTATTCTGTTCCATGGGTCAATGTGTCTGTTTTTATGCCAATATCAAGCTGTTATGATTACAATGGCCTTGCATATGATTCCTCTAACTTTTTTCTTTTTTCTCAAAATTGCTGTGGCTAGTAGGGGCCTTTTGTGGTTCCATATATATTTTAGGATTGTTTGTTCTAGTTCTGTGGAAAATGCCATTGATATTTTGATAGGGATGGCATTGAATCTATAGATTGCCTTGGGTAGTGTAGACATTTTAACGATGTTACTTATTCCTTTTCATGAACACGCTATATACTTTATTTGTATTTCAGTTTTTATAATTTACTGAGTACAGGTATTCTACCTCTTTGGGTAAATATATTCATAGGTATTTTTAATTCAATTGTAAATGAGATTGTTTTTTGAGTTTCTCTTTGTGATAGCTCATTATTGGTGTATAAAAAAGAAACTGATTTTTGAATATTAATTTTATTTTCTGCTACTTTACTGAATTTATTTCTCAGTTCTAATAGATTTTTGTTGGAATCATTAGGGTTCTCAATGTATAGCATTATGTCACCTCAAATAATGACAGTTTTACTTCTCTTCTTTCCAGTTTGGATGTCTTTTATTTATTTTTCTTGTCTGATTGCTTTTGCAAGTATTCCAATACTATGTTCAATGAAAGTGGCAAAAGTAGACAACGTTATCTTGTTCCTGATGTTAAGAGAAACACTTAGCTTTCCCCCATTGAGTATGGTGTTAGCTGTGGATTTGTTATATATGGACTTTATTATGTTGAGGTATGCTGTCTTTATTCCCACTGTGCTAAGATTTTTTTTTCTCATAATTGGTTGCTGGGTTTTGTCTAATGATTTTTCTGCATCTATTGATATGATTATATGATTTTAATTTTTTACTTTGTATGGTGCATCACATTAATTGATTTGTGGATACTCACTCAACATTTCATTCCAGGATTAAGTCCCACTTGACCATGCTGTATGCTCTTCTTTTTCCTTTTTAAATTTTTAAATCATGTTTATTCTACTACAGTTGTCTCAATTTTACCCTTTTACTCCCCTCCACCCATTCCAACCCCACCACCTGCTTCCACAATCAGTTCCCACTCTGTTGTCCATGTCCATGGGTCATTCATACATGTTCTTTGTCTAGTTCTTTCCCCTTGTTTCCACCATTGTCCTCCTTCCCCATCCCCTCTGGTCACTTTCAGTCTGCTCCATGTTTCCGTGCCTGAGGTTATTTTGTTCATTAGTTTATTTTGTTGAATAGAGTCCACTTATAGGTGAGATCATACACTATTTTTCTTTCATCAACTGGCTTATTTCACTTAGCTTAATATTCTCCAGTTCCATCCATGTTATTGCAAAATGTAGGAGTTTCATCTCTCTCTCTCTCCCTCTCTCTCTCTCTCTTTCTTTATTAAATGCAGATAGATTTTATTTTTTTAATGTCAAAGTTAATTATAAAATATTAAAAAATTTAAAACCACTATAAAGCCTCAGCAATTAAACCAACAGGACACCAGCACAGACATAATCAAGTAGACCAATGAAATATAATAAGCATTCTAGAGACAAATGTATATATATCTCTCTAACAATGTAATATATGAGTAAGTTGATATTTCAAATCAATGGGTAAAATAAGGCTTATTCAACAAATAAGGTGCATGGACCACTATTACTTGAAATAAAAAAAAAATAGAGAGCACTATTTCACCCATGATACAAGAAATATTCAGGTGAGTTAAAAATCAATATGCAGAATCTAAGGAGTTTTAGGAGAAAATACAAACTAATATTTTTCTTACCCTGAAGTAAAATATTCAAACCCAGAAGCTATAAAGTAAAATATTGACAATATGACTATAGTAAACATTTAAGACTCTACAGTAATATACATATAAAAAAAGTTAAAGGACAA